CGTCCTTTATTTTTTCCCCCACTCCATATTGTGTCCTGGAGACTTATCCCTTTTGGTGCATGTGGATGGAGTTCGTTCATTTTAACCGTGATCGACGATTCCATTGTACTTATACAGCAGCTTAATTTCCTGCTTGCCGGCGGAGAGGCAGGCTGCTCCTCGTTTCCCTATTACGGACGAAGGTGCGATGAATATCCTTGGACGTGCATGCTTTGCATATGGGTATGAGAAGGATGCACACAGAGCACTGTACGTGCCCTACCCCTGTTCCTTCACCTGCAGGTGTACTCCCTCCCCAGCTGCTATTGGCTGCTAAGGACTCCTCGCCCCCTTCTTGGGAACCTCCTCGCCCTCACCGTGGGGCCGCACATAGGCAGTGACTGATGAACATGGGGTACCAAAGACTGGCCCCTTGCCTCCAGGCGGATCAGCGCGGTGGTGTTATTAATGCTGCAGGCCTCTCGGTGGCATCAGATTGAAGCTAATCTCCAACAGAGAACACATAATTGCTTAGCTTTCCCTCCCACCCTCTCTGCCTTCCCCCGTCTCTTTTACCCGGGAGCCCTCCCTCAATAAATCACCTGCACAAGAACCCCAGGCACTGCTTAGGGACCCAACCTAAGACAGGCACACACCAAGGTGGCGCTGCTGGGCCTTCGATTTGCTCACCTTAAAATTTGTTAAGTATTCCCAAATGGCTCTCCCACGTAGTTGGACCAGTTTGCATTCCCATCAGCTCCCCCCCCCCCAACACACACGTTCATCAATACTATATAGACTAATTTTGCCAATCAGATTGGTGCAATACCGATTTCATTGCTGTGTTTTAATCTGCATTTCCATGTTTACTAGTGATGTTGAGAATCTTTTTATGTGTTTATCGGCCATTCACATTTCTTTCTCTTTTACTTGTCTGTTCATATCTTTTGCCCATTTTCCTATGGCTTTGGAAATTGATGCTCTGAAGTTTTAAAGTAATTATAGTTTGGAAACCAATTCTTGGTTGGTTATTCAGGTTGCAAGTATCTTCTCTCAGTCGTGGCTTTAACAATTTTTTATTTTTTTTGTCATGTAGAAGTTTTTTATTTTAATGAAATAAGGTTTATTGTTATTTTTTATCATTTGTGTTTATTTTCTGATAAAGTTATTTTCCTGTGTTTTTTAAATACAATTTTATAGTCTGCCTTTTACATTTAGGACTTTGATTACTGGGAACTTTATTTTGTGAGTGGTGTGAGTAGCGGTCTAATTTTACCTTTTTCCAGGGGGAGGGGGGGAGTATTTAATTGTCCTAACATCACTCATTACTCCTTGTCATGTTTCAAACGTTCAAATATATTTGGGTCTATTCCCAGGCATATTCCCCATTCTTTCATCTGTTTCTCTATTTCTGGGACCAAATCAAACTGTTTTAATGAGTAGAGTTTTATAATAATTACTAGAGGCATGTTGCATGAAAAGATTCGTGCAATAGGCCTTCCCTTCCCCTGGCTGCCGGCACAGGTTTGTCTCCAGCACCCAGGACCCAGGTCTTCGCTCCGGCCGGAGCCGCCTTCAGTCTTTGCTCCGCTGCTTCGCGCCTACATATGCACATTAACCGCCATCTTTGTTGGCGGTTAATTTGCATATCTCGCTGATTAGCCAATGGGAGGCGTAGTGAAGGTACGGTCAATTACCATGTTTGTCTATTATTAGATAGGATTATATCTGGCAGGATGAGGTTCCCTTCCGCTTCCTGCCCTTTCTTCTTCAAAATCATCTTAGCTATTCTAGTTTCTTTATCATCCCATATGCATTGTGGGATGGCCTTGTCAAATTGCAGAGAAAACCCCATTGCAAATTGTATTGGAAATAAAATCTACAGAGTAGATTGGAGGGGGCTGGCCAACTCTCTGACAGGGGGACTTCCCACCTGCGTACGGGGTTCTGTTTTTCTCCGGCTGTATCCTTCCTCTCCTCCGCATCCCATCCTCCAACGGGGCTGCCTCGGAAATGAGCCTCCAGTCCCTTCTCATCCTTCAATGCCCAGCTGAATGCCTCCTCCTCCAGGAAGTCCTTGGAGACAGCCCTGACCTTGCAGGCTCTCTCTCTCTCCTCTAACCGGTCTCGGTGCCCCATTTCCTGGACACTGAGCACACTGGGTCTGAGGGAGCCACTTCTCCCCATCTCAGCCTCTGAAGAGAAGGGCTGCATCACCTTCATCTTTGAACTCCCAGTGGTACCCATTGCACAGTTGATGGCCAGTGGGCTCTGGGTGATTGGCCCTTAGGTAAGATAAGTGTGTATAACAGGTGCTTCCTCCATGGGGAGGGGCCTGGAATAGAGTTTGGAGTTTCAGGGGAGACACACCTGACTGAAGTCAGACAGATCTAGCTCTACATGGTGGTGCGCTTCATGGGACAGTGGCCTCTCTGAGCATGTGCCCGTCTGTGAGGCGGGGACATTACCAGCCTCACAGGGCTGTAGTGATCATGGCTGAGATTGCAGGAGCACACTGCAGGTGTTTTCTCCCTGTTCCGCCTTCCCAGTGCGAGGCAAGTACAGAGTCAGACCCTGCCCTCAGCCAGGCAGGCTGCTGGGGATCATTTCCTGGTTCCCCAGGAAGACCCCAGGGGCACCTTCCCCAAATGTCCGAGCCATTGACTCTAATGGACTCCACTCTGCCCGTCTCCTGCCCAGCCTCTGATGCCACCCCCTGCCTCCGGCTGCTGTGCCCTTTCCTGGAGCAGAGGTGGGTCCTATGGAACATGCTTGCACCCCATCTTCCCTGCCCTGCCTCCTAGCACCCATATCTCTCAATGGACCCCTGGGCTCCGAGTTGTTCCCATGACATGCTTCTTCCTCGTGCTACTCCTCCAGGGGGCATCTTCCTTCCCCGGGAGAACCAGGGGCAAAGGCAACATCCGGCTGCGAGGGATCGCGTTCCAGTGCTAAGCACCATCTGCACATCTTGAAAGAGAGACTATGGGGCTGATGGGGGTGCTTCCTGGGGGAGCATGGGCTCAAGTTGGACACATCCGGGCTCTGATTCAGAACTTGTTACGTTGGCCTCTCTAAGACTCAGCCTCTCCATACATAAAATGGGTACATGGATCTGACCCCCTGGGGGAGAGGCCAGAAAGGAAGAAATGCATGGGATGCATCAGGTAGCGGTCCAGCATGAGGTGGCCCCTTCCTTACAAGATTGTAGGAATGGAAAAAATGAGGGACACAAGTCAAAGATGAGGCAGAATTTATTCTCATTGTGGGCAAGTTCAAGACTCATGATGGAGACCACAGAGAGCGGATCCCCGGGACCCTGGAGGGCACCTCACGCCGGGGACGGGGTACACTTTTGCAAGTGCCAGCCCCACTGGGTCCCCCCGACTATGAGGATCCAGAGTCCAGGAGCTGGGTCAGAGTGGGGTGGGGGTGGGAGGAAGACAGGTCCTCCCCAGATCCTGTCCTGACCATGTTTCCGACTTCCATAGGAAGGAAGAACAGCTCGGCTATATAGTAATATATAGAGGTGTAGAGAGCTGGCCGCGGCACCTGGGCGGGGCTGAGACCCCCCGAATTATTGCAGGAGGGAGAGGGGGCTCAGTGCTGGTGTTTCCGCGGGATAGCTGTGCTGGCCACAGGGAGGTCTAGGCCTGCCCCTCCCTTGGGGCCAGCAGGGGGTCCCCAGCATCCTGCCCCGTGGGGTTCCTTGGGCCCTGCCAGCTCCCCCTGGGGTGCAGCCTTCTCACCCTGGGTGCCTCTTATGTGCTTTGAAGACCATTTTTGCATTGTCAGGAGTGAGGAAAAAATATTCTGACATGGTAGAAAAAGATATTTACATACCCTGGTGGGCCGTAAGGGACGGGGTCAGTCTCTGAATGGGGCGCTGCCCAAACCCCCTCCCACCCACAGCTGTCCACGTGGGATGGTGAAGGGAAAGAGCCCTGGGAAGAGGCTCAGCTCCAAACTTGGCCGCTGTGTGGCTTGGACAAGACACACTCCCTTGGTCTGCCCAGACGGTGCAGGAGCGGAGGACTTGGTCCCTGATGGTCCCTGACTCCGGGCAAGGGGCTGGAGGGCAATGAGGTTGGCAGAGGGACTGCCAAGTGCGGAGCCCTGGGCTGTGAAGGGGCATCAGACTAGAGGGAACTTGGTGGCCCCTGGCCAGGCAGCCAAGTCCAGCTGAGGGCATCTCACCAACCCTGCGGTGATGCCTATACAGAGGTGGCCAGAGGGGCTGGCCGGGAACCCTGTTTTCCTGGTGAAGCAGCGGAGGAAGCCAGGTGGAGGCTGCAGGTGGCCCCCCACCAGCTAGAGGGAGGGCTCAGACCTGAGATAGAGCCGGGAGTGGGATCCCCTGGGGGGGAGACAAGGGTGGGCCTGGTGCTGGTGTGGTTCAGAAGTGGCCCCTGGCTCCGGCCTCCAGGCCTGGGGGGAGGTGGGTGTGAGCCCCTCTCCAGTCGCTGTGGCTGCTGGGACCTGGACCCACATTCAGTGGGCAGTCACACCGAGTTCCCTGCTCACAGGCAGGGACACTCAACCTCATTCATGACCTGCCACCCACGGTCACATGTACACGTGCTCCCAGTCTCAGTGAATAAGCCTGTGTGCCCTAACTGGCACACATCCATGCTGGGACCTGGCAGGTGGACACACATGCACACAGTCCATGACCTTGTAACAACACACCCCATACGGCACAGGAGCACATGGGTGCGTACACACACACACAGGCAGGTGATCGACGTATCTGTGGGGCTCAGTGGCGTTGAGGCTCCAGCGTCTGGGACAGAGAAGGCCCTCTGCCCTGGGGCCAGGCGTCCCAGCTGTGCTGGCACCAACGGTTCCTTTCAGGTGGCCTCACCCCAATGACTCAGATCCGGTGGGGGAGTCCTCGGCCTCACTGGTGCCTGGCAGGAAGGCAGCCAAGGAGAGGGGCACAAGCCTGGGGCCACCCTGACCGCTGGCCAACCCCGCGAGTCCTCCAACAGCTGGCATGACCTGGGGCCGTGGTGGTCTGGTCAGAGGTGCCGGCGGGGCCCCTGGGTGCTGGTCAGCTGGGCCCTCATGGTCTGGATGCTGCCCAGGATCTTCTTCTGGTGGCCCATCAGGGTGATGCCCAGGGCGCGCACGTCCCTGTGAGGGAAGGGTGGTGCTGGCCAGGTCGGCCTGGGAGGCTGGGAGCCATGGAGACAGGGACATACTCCTTCCCTGGAGCTGCCTCTGGCCCCCTGCCCTCTCCCTGTGCCCCTGCCCCAGGGGACCACCACTTACTGGGCGTTCATTCGCAGCACCATGCCCAGCGAGGAGTAACCACCAGCGGCAAAATGGTCCCGGTAGCGGCCCATTCGGATGGAGTCCAGCCAGTCCCCCACGGTGAGGCCCCCGCTGCCAGCCCCGCCCCCTCGGAGGTCAAAGCAGCTCCGGGCAAAGGCGGGGGCTGGGCACCTGGGGCACAGGGGCCCTGGGTAAGTGCCTTCCTCGAGGACCCGGGATTGACCACCCCCAGCCTCCATCCAGGCCCAGCAGTGGGCAAGGGTGTAAAGGGTTAGACCCCAGGCTGGGAAGGAGAGGGCTGAGGAAGGCCCAGGCCTCACAGGAGTCAGTGCCCAGGTTGGACCTGGTCCAAGGGACAAGACAGGGCTGTCTAGGGTCAGGACTAAGTCAGGGCAATGCTGGGAGGGCAGCCGGGCTGGGCCAGAGTTGGGGGCGGGGGGGGCGGGGGCGCCAGGCACCTGCTGACCGTGGCTGTGGTCCTGAGACTCTCAGGGTTGCGGATCAGGGCATCAAGGATGCTGACAATCTGGGAAAAGCGAGGCCGCTGAGCCCGGTCCTTGTGCCAACAGTCAAGCATGAGCTGGTGCAGGGCCCGGGGGCAGCCCATGGGTGCTGGCAAGCGGTACCCCTCCTCCACGGAGCTGATGACCTGGGGGGGTGGGCACAGGCTGGGCTCGAGGCTGTCCTGCCCTCAAGGCCCCGCCGCCTCTGCCCGGCCAGGGTCCCACACTCACGTCCCGGTTGGTCATGTTCCAGTAGGGCCTCTCCCCGTAGGCTAGCACCTCCCACATGACCACACCAAAGCTCCACACGTCACTGGCCGAGGAGAAGGTCCGGAAGGCGATGGCCTCAGGGGCTGTCCAGCGGATGGGGATCTTCCCTCCCTGCGAGGGACACAGGAACGGTGACGGCTTCTCCTTAGCCCGGCCAGGGGCTGAGCACTGGGGCCGTTTCCCACTGGGGTCCTGCTGAGCAGTGCAGGGCGGGAGACACAGCCGGGGGGCCTGGGGAGGAGGACTGGCCAGGGAGACCCGCACCCAGAGCTGCCGTGTGGACCGAATGAAATAAAGGTGGGATGCCTGGCACACAGTGGACACTCAGTATCAGTCAAGGGGTCAAGGCCTGAGCCAGGGATGCAGCTCAGAGACCATGGCCGAGCACTTCTCTTCCTCTCTCCCTCTCTCCCTCTCTCCCTCCTCTTCCTCCTCTCTGCCCCCCCGCTTTCTCTTTAGGGAGAGGGGGTGTCACAAACCCTTCCTCTAAGTGAGATCTTATTTGGAGGCTCAGAGGTTGAGATGCAAAAGGAGGTTCTGACTGAGGCAGGGGTGGGGGCCCGAGCCCCTGCCACTCGGCCTCCTGCCTTTGAGGCAGCCCCCAAGGTACCTCCAGGGGAGCCCAAATCTCCATAAAATGCATTTTGAAAAAGCTTATATTTAGCCAAACTTTAGAGAGACAAACGTGGAGTCACTGTGTTTCAGCCAGACGCTAACTCTCCCACAGCCTCCCAGCGCGTGGCAGTGGGGCCGGCCCTGGGGTCCACAGCCACCCAGGACCGAGGAAGGGGAGGCCAGGCCGCTCCCATTACCAAGGGGGACACCTTTCTCAGGGGGAAGGCCACCTTCACTGAAGGACAGGGTGTGTGTGGGGGGTCACCCTCTGTCCCACGCTGCCCCTCCCTGGGCCTACAGGAGGGGAGGTTGGGCCACGCACCGTGGTGGTGTAGGCGGCATCGGGGTCGTCCTCCAGGACCCGAGACAGCCCGAAGTCGGACACCTTGCAGACCAGGTTGCCATCCACCAGGACGTTGCGGGCGGCCAGGTCGCGGTGGACGTAGCCCAGGTCGGAGAGGTAGCGCATGCCGGCGCCCACCCCTCGGAGCATGCCCACCAGCTGCATGATGGTGAACTGCCCGTCGTGAGTCTGCGGAGGACACGGCTTGGGCTGCAGGGAGGCTCTTTGCAGTTCGCAAAGTGCTTCACTGCTTAGGAAGCATGAGACGGGCTAAGGTTTGTTCCCACTCCACTCACAGCAACCCTGAGAGGCAGGTGGGCCAGGGAGGACAGTGCATCCATTTTGCAGAAGAAATAAAGGCGCAGAGAGGTCAAGTCCTGTGTCTAAGAGCACCCAGCAAAGGAATGGCTGGGAGGGCTGGGGATCTAGAAATTTCCACGACACCCACCAGGCCTCCCATCTCGGGGGGGGGGGCTGGACCCCACAGAGGCACCAGGACCCCATGCAACACAGGGACTCTCACGTGATGGGGTTAAAAGGCAGCGTGACTGGCGGACCGTTAAGACCCTGTAGCTGGCTCTCCCTTCCCCAGGGCTGTTGGGTCCAAGTTTCCGGGGTGTTTGGAGGCCTAACATTATTTCCCAACACCCAGGCTGACCTTCCCTCTCCCAGCCCATGTGACGGGTGAGGGGACACGCACCCTCAGGAAGGCGTCCAGAGAGCCGTTCTCCATGTACTCGGTCACGATCATTGCCAGGCGGCCTGGGAAAGGGACGGGAGGAGAGGCTGCTGGTGGAGGAATCAGGGCTGCAGGTCAGAGACCCCGGGGATGTCCCCCACCAGGAGCTGGGCCAGCACTGAGGGTCCGGGGAGCCTAGGGCTCCTCCCGGGTCCCAGACGCTGGGCCCCTTCCTGACCGAGTCATCCGAGGATGTGAGCTGGGCCTGGACAGAGCAGGTGGTGTGGGGACGGACCCAGAGCCCCGCCCTGGGGCCACAGGGCCCTGCAGGGTGAGCTGCCTTCCCCCGGCACCTACCGCGCGTGACGACGCCTTCCAAGCGGATGATATTGGGGTGGTCAAACTGACCCATGATGGACGCCTCACTCAGGAAGTCCCGCCGCTGTCTCTCCGTGTAGCCGGCTTTGAGGGCCTTGATGGCCACGGCATATCCTGCTGCCCCGGCACCCGCAGCCGCCCGTAGCAAACTTCTCCCGACTCTCCTGTGGACCGGGAGGGGTGCAGGCGGGGGAGGGCGGTGGTACCCTCTTTCCTTCAGCCCGAGCCCCCCCACACCTCCCCGGCATCACACATGCAAGCGCCCCCCTGGGGGCTGGCTATCCCTGGCGCCTCAGTTCCCCTCGCCCCGCTGCCCTGGTGCCCTCCACACTGCCCCCACCCCTCGCCCCGCCCGAGGCTCACCCGAGCCAATGATTTTCTCGATGTGGATCCTGGAGGCCTCGATCTCTCGGGTGAAGCTGCGGCCTGCCCGGCCCGGCTCCTCATAGGTGTGCGGTTCTGCATAGAACTGGGGCTCCGGGATCTTCCCCCGCGGGTGGTGCAGGGGCAGGAAGACAGGTGGGGGTGCTGAGGGGCCAGGGCAGAAGGACCTTCAGTGGGGTCCCAGAGGCCTTTCCCTCCCAGCATCCCGTGGGCCTGGGGCGGGTGTGGGGGGAGGGGGAGGAGTGTGTCTGGGAATCTCGGGGTGTGGTGGCAAACACGAAGCGCCCAACGTGTGCTCGCCAAGTGAAAGCAGGTCTCTATGGAGTCGCTCTGGGGTCTCTAGGGACCTGGGGGGTCTCCAGTGAGTCTGGAGAACGCCTGTCATTTTCTGGGGTCACTTCTGCTCAATTGTTCTGGGGCAAAAAGTGGCAAAAAAAGATTTCATTTCAAGTGCCAAGCTAGACGGATTGAAAATGGTTCTCTAGACAACTGTGTTAAGAGGGATTCTGAGGCTGCATTCAGGCGGAATGGGAGCCGGTGCCATGACTGATACTGATGTCCACCTGGGCACAGAAGTGGGGTGTGGAGGTAGGCACCCCCTGTATTTGCTTTGTTTTCTGGGGTCTCTGCAGGGTCCTGAAAAAACTCTCTCTAGCAGGGGTTCTTGTCCAAGAACATGTGAACATCCCTGAGGTTGTACGCAAAGCTGTGTGTGAGCGCACACACTTGTACGTCTCCCTGGGGGGTGGGGGGTCCCTCGCATCCTCGGCGGGGTCTGTGAACCCACGGAAGGGGAACTGCACCGCACCTTCGGGGTCTCAGGTCTCTGATGTCCTGCTGTCTATCTCTGGGGCTCTGGTCTTTCTGTGGGCACCCTTCTCCTCTCCCCCCAGACCAGCCCTGGCTCCCACCGGGACCTCCTCTTTGCCCTCTGATCCCAGCCCGGTGCTCACCCTGCCCGTTCTGATAGTGCATCTTCTCCTCGTCCGAGTCCTGGAAGGCCTTGCTGTAGCCGCAGTGCCTGTGGGGGATGGGCACAGCTCTGCCCGGGGTCCCGCCTCCCTAGACCCAGCCCCACCCCGATTCAGGGACAAATCAGGACTCCCCTCCCCCTGCAGGCAGCACCTGACACCCAGTCCCTGCCCCTGCTGGGGGAGGCCCCACCCTCAGGCTCTCATCTCAGCGGAACTGTGATGTCCTTGACATTTATAAAACCTTCATAATTTATACAGCCGAGTCCACTTAGCCCTCCCAGCAAATTCTGTGGCTTATTAGGCCCTTTTCTCATGAAACTGTCCTTGGTGAAGGGCTGAGAGATGGGGCGCCTGATGCCAGCTCTGCTGTGACCTTGGCAGGCCCCTTCCCTCCCCTTCCCTGGCCTCAGTTTCTCCACCTACTGGATGAGCCGGGACCCTAAAGCCACGTGAGCACAGAGTCCCATCCCCGCCTCGACTCAGAGCGTGGTGTTTCGTTAAGAGAGACCTGGGTTCAAGGCCCAGTTCTGGCATCTATTTGGCACGTGGCCTGACCTCTCTGATCTCCAGTCTACTCACCTGCAAAACAAGGTCAGAATCCCCACACCACGGGAGTATCCTTAGGATTAAAGGAGATGGAGGTGGGTGTTGAAGGGAGACCAGTGAACTTGCTAGTGGATGGATGTGGCATGAGAGAGAGAAGTCGAGAATGACAACCTGGGTTGGCGCTGGAGTAGCCCCATGAATGGTGGTGCCATGTCCTAAGCTGGGGAGCCTGTGGAGGTGCAGGCTGGGGAGGTGCAGAAGGTGCAGGTTTGTCTAAAGCACATCCGTGTGGAGATGTGAGTGGGCAGCCGGACCTCAGGGGAGAGGTCTGCACTGTGCCACATGAATTTGGGGGCCGTCAGGGTGAACGTGGAACTGAAAGCCATGGGCCCTGAGAAGGTCACTCAGAGAGATGGACCTGGGACAATGGATAGAGGGCAAGGGTCAGGATGAGCCCAGGTCCACCAGCCTTTAGAGCAGTGGTTCTCAACCTTCCTAATGCCGCGACCCTTTCATACAGTTCCTCATGTTGTGGTGACCCCCAATTTCATTGTTACAAATTGAACATAATTAAAGCATAGTGATTAATCACAAAAACAATATGTAATTATATATGTGTTTTCCGATGGTCTTAGGCGACCCCTGTGAAACGACCCACAGGTTGAGAACCACTGCTTTAGAGGTTGTTTGGAACGGAGGGGCTGGGGAGATGGAGGACAGGCCAGAGATGTGGACAAAAGTATGTGTGTGTGGGGGGGGGGCGGGGGAGAGTGAGGTGGGGGGGGCAAGAGAAAAGCATCCCTTCCAAGGAGGACAGAACAGCTGTGTCTGTAAGTGTGCCCAGCCCCAGGCACAGGAAGTGGCTCGGCGCTCCCGGGGGATGGGGGGCTTGGAGGGGCTGGGGCCCAGGGCCACCCACCTCTTCTTGCAGATCAGCAGGAGCAGAAGCACGACCAGGCCGGTGATGAGGGTCAGGCAGATCCAAACGATGGTCCGGGTGTCATAGCGGGGCCCTGCAGGGGGAACGGGTCGGGGAGGCTCTCAGGCCTGGCCTCGGGCCCAGGGTGCTGGTGGCTCTCCCTGAACCTGGGCGGCAGCCTCTTCAGCTGAGAGTCAGCCCAGAGTCAGGACACAGGCCACCTCCTCTGACCCACCTCCCCTCTACTAAGCTTCTCCTTCAAGACCCTGCTGCCCCACACTTCCTGGCTTCCCACCCCGGTACTACCACTTCCTGGGGCTGTGTGACCTGGGGAGAGTTGCTAGACTTTTCTGAGCTTCAGTTTTCTCACTTATAATATGAGTTAAAAAAATGCCCGTTGAGAGCTGTGCCTTCCAGTCTCAATGAGCCCTCCCTCATCCCTTCCAGGGAGATATTATCTCCCATTTTCAGGAGAGAAAACTGAGGCTCTTACTCAAAGCCACACGGTGAATGGGATGCAGCAGGACCGGATTCCTACCTGCACAGTCTCACTCTGGTATCAGACCTGGGAGCCCTGGAGACACAGCGCCCAGGGAGTGCTGGTGAGCACAGCCATTAACTCAGCCTTGAACCCTCCTATCCTGGCACCACCCCCCTGGAGGCTGCCCGAGGGTAGGAAAAGGCCCCGGCTGGCTGGAGATGGGGCAGGGGGTGCATCAAGCTTGCCCTTGTGGGCTCCATAAAACCTACATTGATCAGCCCCTGCCCCAGGGTTTCTGATTCAGAGAATCAGCATTTCCAATAGCTCCCAGGTGCTGCTGACGCTGCTGGTCCCACACCACACTGTGGGACCCACTGCCCCGGAGGCTGGGGCGGGGTGATGGGGGGGGCACAGAATTTGCCCCCAAACTGACCATGTTCAAATCCTGCTTTGCTGGGTAACGGTGGGCAATTCACTGTATTGCTCTGACCCTCGGTTTCCTTGTCTGTGAAATGGGGATGTGGATGATGCCAACGCACTAGAGCAGCGGTTCTCAACCTGTGGGTCGCGACCCTTTGGGGGTCGAACGACCCTTTCACAGGGGTCGCCTAAGACCATCGGAAAACACATATATAATTACATATTGTTTTTGTGATTAATCACTACGCTTTAATTATGTTCAATTTGTAACAATGAAAATACATCCTGCATATCAGATATTTACATGACGATTCATAACAGTAGCAACATTACAGTTATGAAGTAGCAACGAAAATAATTTTATGGTTGGGGGTCACCACAACATGAGGAACTGTATGAAAGGGTCGTGGCATTGGGAAGGTTGAGAACCACTGTTCTAGAGGGTCTCTGGGAAGAGTGAGCAGGTTGTCCTGCTGGCAAAGGGCATC